GGCCAGTGATGTCACTGTGATGTCAGTGCTCCTACTTATCTTGCACATGCTGCTAGTTGGGAGCACTTTGTGTTGGACAGTGATAGGGAAACAAGACCAATCTGGATGCAGACGCCCATCATGGCTGTGACCGGAGATGAAACAGGTAAGGACGGAAAAGGGGGTTTCAGTTCCTTAGGCAGAGCTCTCTGAAGTTTATAGGAGTCCTTAGGAACCTCTGCGTGCGTCAACGTTATTTCCTAGTCACTTAGAAGCGGGAAGTTTCTTTGAATGTTTCTCTGCACTTAGCTTACTTTGGTAAGGCTTCTTAGTGTAACTGCTTCTTTGTTTAGTATCGCAGAGCTTGCGGGACCAAGGGCCCCCTCCTACCCGCATTTCTTACTCCTCTCCCTGCGTGCCTCCCTTTCCCTCTCCCCTTGCCCCCACCTCCTCCCGCCCCTCCCCCTCCCTCCTTCTTAGCTGTTCTAAAATAAGCTATTATTTCATCTGCAACCTGTTGCGAATTCAGTCCAGCTACAAGTTAAATACATGTACTGTTTCTGTCGTAAAATATTATGCTTCTGATTTCACTGCTGTGTAGGAAGGCAGCTGCCAGCAGCACTGGAGCAACCGCTGCAGTGGACGTTTGCGCTGGCCTCTCTCCTCCTGTACTTAAAGTGGTCTGTTCCTCCGCTAATTGAGTTCAAAGGGCTGACGTCACTACATTTCCTGGAATCGAGTTTCAGCAGGGAAGTGGAAAAGTTAAACTCCGAGCGAGCTGCACATTGACGTCAGCTCCGAGTCATGTTGTGATTTAGTCAGTTCCTCTCCGCTTTGTCAAGCGCCCTGCCAGACTGAGAGTTGTTAACTAGCTCCCCACAGCCCTATCTCCAGGATCGCCCTTAGGCTGCGTAGTTTTCCTGGCAGCTTTACCCTAACATTTCTCAGGAGGTAAGTCTATCTTGAGGAGGGGGAACACTGCAACGCCGGCAGTGCCCGATGAGGAACTCGGGTGTCTGGCCAGCGTCGCGGTCAGCTTGCAGCTCCCGCGACGCAGCGCCCCGCACGTGCTGCTGACAAGTGAACTATATATAGGCTGGGGAGGCGGGGGACGGCTCTGGGCTCCCACTCCACTGTGGGAACTCGGGGTTCGGAGCGCTCTCTACCGCCCAGTCGGGGAAGTGCTTGTCGCTGTAGTGTTCCCAGCTCTGGTTATTTAGGTAAACTTGTGATGAATAGTTCTTTATGTGGGTTGCTTTTCTTAGTTACAGATAAGTGATTTTGCAAGACTGAATTACTAGCGACCTTTGTGTGGTTGTAACATTTTCAGTGGTTTTATTTGTAACCCAGTTGTGAATTTGCAGTTGAGTTCCAAACGAATGGATCATTACAGTTTCATAACACTTTAGCTCTTTAGTTAGTGGGTATCAGCCTCTTACTGGGGTGGAATATTCCATTGTCTTGAATAAGTACAACTACATTAAATTGTTGGTTTGTTTGTACCGGGAATCGAACTCAGGACCTTGAGTTTGCCAGACAGGCGCTCTGTGCTGCTGAGCTACCTCCCCTTTTGTAAAGTTTTTCTTGGGAGCTTTTTTGTCCAAAGAAGTTTCTGTGAAGTTAAAGAAGTGCTATAAATTGACATTGCTCTTAAATGACATAATTTGTGTAAGACACAGATAAATTTAGAGTGATTTCAAATACTGTATGTCATATGAGTCCTAGAATCAAAAGGCATTTCTATGCATACATTTACTTTCTGTAATTTGTTTCTATTTTTCTTTCAACTAAGTTTAATTCCTATTCACTATATGTCTTTTCTAAGCATAAACCAGTAATACAATAAAGTAAAATAATTAAAAATACCGAGTATTTTTAAAAGCATGTTTAAGATAAATATTTACATTAAACTTTTAACCATTGCTTGCCTGTAAATTAAAGGAACATTTTTATGTATGTATATTGATAGAATGAGCGTATCATCCTTGTTGAATTTATTTTCACAGCGTTATGGGTAATACTTATACGTGGTTTCCCCTTTTAATTTAAAAATGTTCAGATCCTTAAAACTTACAATTATTGAACAAAACAGAATGTTTTTTCACAAGCCTTGATTATGCTTTTGGAATTATTTTTAAAAATCTGGCCAGTTCTAATAGAACCAATGTTACCTGAAAAGCTATTTTAAAAATGAAAAACAAAGTCTCTCTCTCTTTTTCTTTTTTTTGTCTTTTTGAGACAGGGCCTCACTATGCAGTTCAGGCTGGCCTTGAACTCACTTTGTAGCCCAGGCTGGCCTCAAACTCATAGCGATCCTCCTGCCTCAGCCTCGTGAGTGCTAAAATTTCCTCTTTCTTTCTTTCCCTTTTGAAAGACAAGGTCTTGCTAAGTAGTTCAGGCTAGCTTTGAACTGACTATGTAGCCCAGGCTGTCCTCAAACTCAGCAATTTTTCTGCCTCCGTCTCCCAAAATGCACCACCACACCAGGCTTCATTTTTTTTTAAGAACCAAAGGAGCACAGAGTTTAAGGAATTTTTCAAAGGTATAGCTGAGTGGCTTTCAGAGGCAGGCCTTTGCATTCTCAGTCCTGGGCTGAGTGGGTTGGTAAAACAAGAGGGTTGATCTGGAGTGTGACTTGGCAAAGTTTTTGGCCACAGGCAGCATTTTATACCATGACTCAGTGGGCCTGTGTGTGTATGTGTGTGTGTGTGTGTGTGTACAAGTGTGTATATATATATTTGTGTTATATAAAACAAGTTTGAAATACAATACCCACTTTTTTTTTCTTTTTAAAATGCTGTTCTTGAGCCATGAAATTGATTTCATGACCTCCTAGTGGTCTAGAACTTAGAGTTGGGGAAATGCTGAACTTGAGTAAACTCAGATTTTTACCATGAATGACTGGCCTGGAAAAGATTTTTGCAGTGTTTACTTACAGAATCCTGGAGTCATGATAAAAATGAGTACCTGTAGTGTATCTGTTGGCTATCATTTACCTCTTAGAGTTGTTTTATTCATAAGTTGACTACGTTAGGAGCAAAACTTCCTATCTTTTAGATTCTGAGTTAGTAAGTTGTATTAGAGCTGGATTTTCAAATTGTTAACAACAAACATTCCCAGTATTCAAATTTGGAAGACAGTATCTTCATTTTTGATGCGTGAAAACAAGGATATATATGAAAGGAATCTATTGGTAATGATTTTTTAAGGAAATTTTGGCATAAAAGAATAGTCAGGTTGTCATAGCTTCTTTTTTTTTGGTACCAGGAATTGAACTCACAACTTTGTGCTTACCAGGCAGGTGCTGTGCCGCTGAACTATATCCCCGGCCCTGTAATAGCTTCTTGAATTTGGTAGCAGAGCAAGTTATAATCATGTTGGAAGTAAAAATAACAAGTCTCTTACCGACCTTAAGTTTCAATAAAACTCCAAAACTGTGGAGGGTAAAATTTAAAAAGGCTATTATGCTGTTTCTTGACTATTTTTGAAAAGATTTTAATTAATTTGAGATATTTATTTTACGTTGCCTCGTTTGATTTTCCTGCATGAATATATTGCCTAATAATATAATTATGATACTTTGCATTGATGTAAATATTAAAATATAAAAAAATCACAATGTTACAAGTACGCACAAATAAAAATGGAAGGAAGTGCTTTCAAAGAAACTGTCGGATTGTGAGTGACATGCAGGAAGCAGGAAATAGAAGTGAAAGGATCAGGGTGGGTCTTGCCAGGATGCCATATTTGATGACTGAAAATGGAGAAGCATCTTCCTGATAAACACAGGGCAGGTACTGCTCCACTCATCTGTGTGTGGCCAAACGCAGATCAGAGTGGGTAAAGCACTCCTCCAAACTGACAGAGCTAGCACGTGCTGAGCCAGTGTGGGTCTTCACACAACTCTGGTTCTGTTCCTACCGGAATTCACCTGACGTTGGTAAATGAGTGCTAGTGTGACATGAATTATAATAGTGTGCCATATACTGCCTGTAAATACATAAAAGGAAGTTAGCATCATTTGAAACAACCTATGAGGGTTATGTGTAACTTAGTTTGCTTGTGGTAATCGTTTTACAATGTATATATATCTCAAAGCATCACATTGTACTCCTGGAATATACATACAATTCTTATTGTCAACTATATCTCAATAAAGCTGAAAAATATCTAATGACAATTCTATGTGGTCTATGTGTTACAGTAATTATAACAAAATTAAATGTTCAGTGCCTAAACATTTTTATGTAGGGTTTAATTTCCCCAGAGAAAGTAGAGTGATGGAGTGGGTAGTTTCTGACGGTAGGGAGCACAAGGCCCCGGGCGAGGCTGATTTCGAGTGAGGAGTGGTGGTGCGCTAGGGAGCGGGGAGAGCGCCAAGAAGCGAAAGTGAGGAGGTGTCGAAAATGTTTTCATCCTGTTAGCACGCTCAGGGCTACAGATAGCTCAGTAAATAAATAATCAAACTCATCGTCATTTGGGGTGTTGACAAGTCGCTGTGCTTTGAAATCTGCTAAGATAGGTTACAAAAATCTAGGCATTTATCTGGGCTCCCACTTATGTCTCTGTCTCTTCCTTTGACTTGCGGGGTTTTTCAGTTTTCTCCCTAACATTCTGAGAAGAGTGCACCCCTTGGTCATTTTTGGTTCTCCTCTGTTTTAAATGATTATATATACTGAAAAGATAACTTATGTTTTAATAATTTATCCTTGAAAGGGATATTCTTTTGACACATTTTTACCCCCAAAAAAGGCGTAAGAACCACATGTTTTGATCCCTCAGGTGGGGCAGAAAGGAAACTGCAGGGGAAATTTTATTTATAGATGTTGTAAGCCTTGTAACTAATATATAGTACATGCATAATTTGGAACATTGTCTTTCAGAATGTAAGGAAGGGAAGAAGAGGGGAAGTAACATTTGCTGAATGCCTTCCACGTGCCAGGCACGGTGCTAAATACTTTGACATATATTGTAGGGGTTGTTGTGAGTATTAAATGAGACCATGTATCCCCGTTTTACAGATGAGGAAACTGAACTTGCCCCAAGTCACATGGCTGGTAAGTGGCAGAGCTGGACTAGACCCCAGACTCCAAACCCCATGCTTTCCCTGCTGTACAGTACCGTTTGAAATTAAAGCTTGCCAAGACAGGTATGAAGTCAGTGACCAGAGTTAAGAGTTCCAGTTTTCTTTTCCCATGAAATATTTGTATCCCTCCCTCTCTTTTTTTTTTGGGGGGGGGGCTATCAGGAGTTCATTGATTGGAAATACGTTATAATTAGAATACTGAGCTTCTAAAATTCCCTGTTGGACGGCCATGAAGTGTATCTAAGGGAAGATGTAGGTAACAATGCCTTGAGCACCTAGCATCCTGTAGTACTTCCCGTGTTAAAGTGTTAAAGGTGTCCCCGTAAGTCTGCAGGAAAGATTGCTTATTTTAGACATTGCAAGTGGCAGTGGCTGTGCCAAGCCCTGGGAGGTTCCCAGTGTACTCCACAGTGTACACACACACACACACACACACACACACATCACACCCCACGGGTACCCACTCGGCCAAGTGCTGTGAGAGGTACTGTCCCTGCTTGCCTCAAAGTTCAGCTTGTCTGAAAATACAATCAGTGTCTAAGTATATTTTTCTCATTATCTATCCAGTCATAATGTCTAAGCCCCTACTGATGACCTGTGTATTTTCAGAAAATAAAAGTGAAATTCTAGATTAAGAAATAATTTGGATACTTCTAGTAGTTAGGACAGGAATTGACTTTTATAGGAATAAAAATATGTCACCAAAGAATGTAGGATGGTTCTCTGACCTGTGATCTTAGTGTCTAACCTGCTTTATATTACTACTGAATTCATAATAGTATTAGAAACTGATGTGTACCAAAATAAACACTTTCATAACTTGTTTCAAAAATAAAACATTTTGACATTTAGATTTTCTCAAATCAAGAGATTCTCTTTGCCTCCATCTTTCTAGTATACTTTACAAATAAGATTATATTTGAATACATGCAGTTTATCCATTGACCATGAGAAGTGTAGAAGTGTGGCAACACACCTGAGGCAGGAGGATCACAAGTTCAGGTTCTACCTGGGCAACTCCGTAAGCCCCTTTCTCAAAATAAAAAGTAAAACAGACTGGGGATTAAGCTTAGTGCAGAGGCCCTGGTCAGTCCCCAGCCCCACAAAAAAAGTGTACCATCTTAGAGATTCTTTGGGCCCTTGCAGAAATTCATTCTAATTCCTACTAATTTACACTAATTCATATTTCTGACTTAAACTAATGAGTTATAATTTTTGATTTGTGTTAAAGGAAATAAAAGGAATATATGATACTTGAAACATTTTAATACCTGGTTTATCTAACATCCCAGAACTAATACATCAGCTATTTTATCTCCTTTCAAGTTATTTTAAAGTGGTGTTTTTCCGAGCTATGGCTCTAACTGTTTCATAAATGCTTAATTTGGAGTTAACCATTGTCCTTCATGCTGCCAGATTTGGTCTTCACGGGTGCCTGTGGCTTTTGGAAAGGGGCGAAGGTTGTCTGGAGCCATTGCTGGTGTCCATTCTCATCTGTCAAGCCTCCTGTGTCTCCTTCCCTTACTGAGTGTTCTTACAGGAGCTCTGTGCATCGTGCTTCACGCTTTCTTGTCATATTGTAGAAAACACCATTGTACGCCCAGCGAGAGTAGAAGAGCCCCAGCACCTTTCTGTTTGGGGCACTGCTTTGTGAGCGGTGTTTAGAAGGATCAGCCCTGGCACCGGGTCTGCATTCAGGCCGCCTGCAAATGTCAAGATGATGACATGTAAACTTCTCCTTCGTCACTGACCATTGTTCCAGTTTTAGAAAGTCCGCACAGCCTCCAGCTGCTGCATTGTTTCAGCCTTTATTATCCCGTAACCTCCTTCCTCGGAAGTGGGTGCAGAGACAAGCAGGGAGGGCTTGGCTGTTCTATCTTCCATCCTGTCTCCTCTGACAGTGTATCAAGATGTTTAGAAAGCTTTGGTTTATAATTGGTTTTCTTAAGTATTCCAAAGCTATAAAATTTTCTTAAATGTATAAGACATATATGCAGCGTTTTGAATAATCACAAAAGCAAAAACAGTGTAGGCCAGGCATGGTGGCACATGCCTGAGATCCCAGCACTCTGGGAACCTGAAGCAGGAGGACGATGAGTTCCAGCCCAGCCTAGACTACATACCAAGATCCTTTGTCAAAAACCCAAACAACAGTAACAACCAGGCTACCTTCAGTGGTAGTATACAATTTAAGTAAAAAAATCTCACTTTCTATTTTTGGAAAATTTTCTTAGTGTGTATGATACATTTAAAAAACATGACAGTGCTGTTTTCTCTTGATTGGCATCTGACTCAGATTGATTTTTATAGAATTTAATATCTTTTAAACCATTTTTTGAAGTGCGTTGAGACAGAGTCTCACTGTGTATTCCAAGCTGGCCTTGAACTCACTAAGTAGCAATCCTCTTGCCTCAGCCTCCCAAGCACTGAGATTACAGGCATACGCTCTAAACCATTTTTCTCGCATTTAGCTTTGAAGAAAGTATATATTTTGTGACACCTCATCAAAATATCAAACTAATCTGGGACCACGCATTCTCAAAGTTGAAGCATTAGTGGCACAAAATCTGTCTTCTAGGAAGCAATGTTCATTACAGTTGATAGACAAATTCTGAATATAAATTCAGGGACTATGAATTTACTTTTAGTATTCACCTGGAATACTAAGTAAATATTAAATCTGTCTTTTAACTGTGTGATTTACTATATTTAGAAAATATTTTTAAAACATGAATACTAAGGCCAGGAGTCAATTTAAATCTTTCCTCCTTAAAAAAATAAAGATATTGAGAAATGTATTCTTTTCCCAAAAGAAAGACAAAAGTGAGGTTTTTCCAGAGAAGTCAGTTTTATAAAGAGATCTGCTGGGCTTTTTGTTATTATTGTGGTTTTTAACTGAAACCACAAAAAACTAGATTCCGCCCCTTGCCTGAGTCATTTTGTCGTAGGAGGACTTTGAGTTGCTGTTTCAGGCGCGCTGTAGGCCACAGGGAGCCTCTCCCCAGGTACTCAGATGGGGGAGGGCTGTTTAGCAAAGATGTTTGCAGTGTTGCTCTGAAGCTAGCTCTCACTGGCTCGTAAGAGTCGGTTGTTGAACTTTCAGCCCTTTTGTGAGCCATTATTAAAAATTAAATATGTATGTATACTCCTATATACATGTATATACACACACATTTAAATAAATGACTCAAAACCCATCATTTCTAATGGTTTTATCTATGCTCTTGAACTTACTTTCATCTGTCTTCTCTGCATGGCGTACAGCTTGCCTGCCTCTTTCCAACTTACGTTCAGTGAAGTCACGCAGACATTTTGAAGCCGGTCATAGTAAAAGTATTTCTACTGTGGGAATCATCAAACACGACCAAGATCAGGGTCCCCCCACTCCACCCCAGAGCTGTTTCTTAAACATCTGTCAGCACACTGGTGATTTTAGGCTGAACGGGCTATAGTTTAAAAGCCTGTTTTCTTTAGCCTCTGATAAAAACGTGTCTAAAATGCCTTCAGATAGTTTTCTACCTTAAATATGGAAAGCATGCTGACATGGTCGTATCAGTGCCAGAGAATCTTTGATATTTAAGAGCCCTATCATGCTCAGAATAAGCATCTTCCACATTACAAGATCACCTCTACTGACATGTAGAAAGTACGTTACTTCCAGGACAATTGAAAGTGAAATTTCAGTTCATAGGCTGTATGTATAAGCTTGTGTTTTGTGTCATTGCAGCGGCCACGGGTGACATGCCAGCTTACCAGATCAGGGCTCCTGCTACTGCTTTGCCCCAGGGCGTGGTGATGGCTGCCTCACCGGGAACCTTGCACAGTCCCCAGCAGCTGGCAGAAGAAGCCACTCGCAAACGGGAGCTGAGGCTGATGAAAAACAGGTGCGGTGTTTGCTAGGGCTGAGGACCCGCTTTGTAGACACATGGTTTGTTACTGTGGGGCTTTGAAAAGCATATACATTTTCTAAGCTCTTTCTCTCAAGTTCAGTGTTAATGTGGCAGTGCACGTGGGTTTGTATTTTCCCTGAATGTGAAGATGATCAGCAGCTTCTCAGGTTTATTCCCAGCCACGAACAGTTCATCAGCAGGGACACAGCCCCTGTCAGCTGTGGGGGTAATGTTCAAAAGATGCATTGTTTTGCAACAATGATGCAAAGATTTTGTTACAAACGAAGATTAAAATTTTGTATATGATATTTACTTAGTGAAATATTATGGTGATGATTATAACTTCTTAGTTTTTATTAGCAAAAGAAATGTTAGACCATTTCTTTGTTTTATCACTATTACAATGAAATACATATTATTCTAAGAAAATTTTAGTGAAGATAGGATCGCAGAATAGCAAAAAAGTGGCTCTACCACTTAGAGATAACTGTTAATATTATGTTATATACCTAATATTGTTATACATGTATGCTTTCAGTCTGCTTTATCTCATTTATTTTTTCTACATCTTTCTGTAATTTTGATTTATTTTATTTTATTTCATTTTATTTAGGTACTGGGAATCAAACTCAGGACCCTGCGCTTGCCAAGCAGGCACTTATGCCCCTGAGCTAAGTTCCCAACCTTAATTTTAAAATGATGGTCTTGCTATGTTGCTCAGGCTTTGCTGCTGAGCTAAATCCCCAGCCCCTCAAAAAATTTTTAAAAATTTAAACCTTTATTTTATTAAACTCATGTGTTATTTTTTCTGTTAGTTCTTATGGAGGATGGTACAAATCAAATCAATAGTCTTGTCACCTACTCTTAAATTGTAAACAATGTCCCCAGTGTAAGAAAACAAATCATGTCAGTTGGGGTCATCTGCTTGCCTGTGATCAGGACCAGGGTCATTAATTTATTAGGATATAGCCAACCTAGTTAGTCTATAAATTCAGGCCTCTGAGCCCCTGACATTATTCTGAGTACGTCGCCATCCTTTGTAGCTGAGCATGGGCCAGAAGGAGCTATATTAAGCTTCCTAGTCATCTTTTAAATGATACAGTTAGTTATAAGAATCCCTACATTGGCTGTCATTCTCAAACTTACTCATTTCAGTGAGTTTAGATGGTGTTTTGAATGTTGGAAAACTCAACAGATAACCAGAAATCAGAAAGACACACACATTATCAGGGCTTGTTCCAGGGGTACTGAGTCATGCTGAGTGCATACTCTTCATCCGCTCTGTTCAGAAATCCCCACGGGGCTGGCTCGATGGGGCTCACACAGTGTGGTAGGTGTTTCATGGCGGTCTTGTTAGCAAACGTCCTTTGATCTGATGGAGAATTACTGGTACTTTAAAATTGTACTTCCTGGGCTGGGAGTACAGCTCAACGGCACGGTGCTGACCTGGCATGCACGGGGCTTGGGGTCAGTGCCCAGCACAGATAGATGACAGACAGACAGATAGACAGACAATAGAGAGATAGACTGATTGATAGACAGATTGATAAGTAGGTAGGTAGATAGATATATCTAGATAAATAGGGTAATTGATTGATAGGTAGGTAGATAGATAGATATATCTAGATAAATAGGGTAATTGATTGATAGGTAGGTAGATAGACAGACTGATTCATATAGTTGGAATTTTCTGAGATTTCAGGAGCTACGAATACAAATGCCTGTTTGGTAATATGTGCATTGTAAAGTTCAGTTTAGAAATATAGAGTCTGCCAGTAATGCCAACTGTAAAACTGTTCATTGGTGTCATAGTTTACCCAAAGAAAATAAAAAAGGGACGTAGACCTATTCCCACTTTTGCAGTTATTCTCTCCCCTTATTTTTAATTTCAACGTTTTTACAGTAACAATTCCAGTGTAAATTTGATACAACATTAGGCAGTGGGTTCCTAAAACATTCCGCACAGCTACATAGGTATACCTAAGAGCTCCCTGAGGGGAAAAATTTATGAAAGCTCAGTATTCACAAATATCATATGAATAATAACTACTAACACTTACATGTGGGCTGCAATGAACCAAGGAAATGGAGGCTTCCATTTCTAGGTAGTCTGTATGTCTCCATATGGCGCTGAGGTACAGTCTGCGTGGCTGGGACCAAGGGTCGGGCCCAGGCCACCCCCCTGCGCTGTCGTCCTCAGCGTGGACAGTCTGCCCTGCTCACGGCCTGGCTGCTGCCCCTCTACGCGCTGCATCAGGCAGGAAGAAGGAAGAGAAGCGAGAGCCAAAATTTGGGGCTAGAGCTGAGGATTTAGCTCAGCAGCACAGTGCCTGCCTGGCAAGTGCAAGGTCCTGAGTTTGATTCTCAGTACTAGAAAAAACTGGGGGGCTGGCTGAATCTGTCTCCTCTTAGGAGCCTTTCCTGGGAGACCTCCCAATGTAATCCACATTTCTTTTTTTTTCTTGGTACCAGGAATCAGACTCAGGACCCTCCATTTGACAGACGGGCGCTATGCCCCTGAGCTATCCCCAGCCCTTAACCCACAGTTCATTGATGGCACAGGATCCTGAGAAGGGTTTATTTTAGCTTTCAGATCTTATTTTTGGAGCAACACAAGAGAAATGCAGCTCTAAAACAGCTATTAGGTGCTCAGTATCTGTTTGGCAAATTTATTTGTACGGTTCCTTTAGCTCACATAACTTTCCCATGAGAATTGTGCTGGTTATTGTCCCTAGTTTACAGAGGAGGAACTGATGTTCAGAGAGGTAAACAGTAAGCTGGGTAAGGCCACGTGGCCCGAACCGGACAGGACCGGGCCATGCAATCAGGCCGTGTTCACTTGTGAGCTGCTCCTCTGCCCTAACACCAGGGTCGCCTCCAGAGGACCTCACTGTAAGCTTCAGGTGTGACTCCATGGAGATGCCTGTGATCAGGTTTTCTAGCACGGAAGATACCTCGTACATTCTCTGTTTATTCTTTGGCCAGCTTTATGCTAGATATTTAGTTATATTGCTGTCAACACAGCAAGAGTTTTATTTCTTACAGCCTTGTTGGCTTTTCCTGTTTGGCGTGAGTCCCGTCTTGTTGAGCACAGATTCAGTCAAATCAGGGCCTGGGAACTGAGCTATTAATAGAAGCAACAGGTGCTGTCCATAGTTGAGGATGACTTAGGAATGACCTTCCACTGGTGTGATCACTTAAAGCTTTGTGCTGGAAACATTTGGACTCTTAGTAATACGTCTGCCCTCAAATGTAAAATACGAAGTATGGGTATTTACAAGCAGCTTGGTGAACAAAAATTTAAAACTTAATCCCATTACACTGTGGTTAGATGTTTAAAATTTAATAGAACAATAACTTGTCTTGTAGAATGACTGCCTTCCTCCTAGATCTTGAGTTTAATGATTTAATCATGAAAACATTAGTGTTTGTAACTGAGTTCTTTGTGGAAGAGAGGTGAATGATACTCCCAACTGGAAAATTTGTATGTTTGGATTCATTAACTTTTCACTGTGCATCATGTAGATGAATCACTATTCTATTAGGTTCGATTCACTTTTACATGTTTTATTTTTTGTTAACCAGTTGAGAAGTCCAGAACTTTGTGAGTTCACAGGGTGAGTGCATTGTTCTTGGTAGGAAGTAGGGGTTGTCCTTTTCTTGCAGTTCACTGGGATTTCAAGGTTTCTTTTCTGCTGACTTTTGCTTCCCATAGAGAAAACATATCCAGTGAGTGAGAGTCAACTCTCCTAAAATCAGAACAATTGGCCAGATTTTATGCATGCTATATGCTTGGTTCAGGAATACAGTGATATTACTTGGCATTACAGTAACTGGTATTTAGAAATACATTACATCCATTAAAATATACCTGAATGATAATACCTAGCCATTATTCTGGAATTAAATACTCCAAAATAAAGCTGTTCTCAGTGGGTATGTAAGTAAAATACTTGCTATCCCCTCCCACCTTTAAAATAAAGGAGAAAGGGAAAATGTTACCTATATTGCTTTTTAGTAGAACAGTGCATGAAAATGACTAACTCATCTCTCTATTTGTATTTGTCGCTCTGGCTGCTGGTCTGTTCTTTCCTTTGGACATGTCTCCAGTGCTTTAAAACTCAGGGTGCTGCATATTAAGTGCATGTGGTCAGTGAACAGTCTTGAAATGCTTTTGAGTTACTCAGTAGCTTCTTTTTTGTGGTTTTAAATTGTGGCATTCTCGCATTTGTGGGTTTAAATTGTCTGAATTATTGAATGTTGTATTATGTAACCCCAGCTTTAATTTTCAGAAGCAGTGTCCATTTTATTTTGGTTTATAAAAAGTACATTGTGTTTACCGTTGTAATTTATCCATGTTGTGTTTTCCAGCCCCCAAACCTGTTTCTTACCATTGTGATTCACCTTGTTTTGCTGAGATTTAGTATTGAAGAATAAAAATCTTCAACATTGACATTTTAAGGTTTCTGAGAATTAATTCTTATAATCACCTTGGCCCCCAAAATTTACTCATTGGTGAAATATGTGTGGTTTTTGGCAAACATAAGAAGGTTGGAGGGATCTAGAAATGTCTAGAAATCCCACTTGAGAACGTGGCCCCGTTGTTTTAGTGCGCTGAAGCCAGCGCTGGCCCTTTTTCTCACGAGGTGTGTGCCCTAAGAAGACACCATCTGGGCAGATGGGCTGTGCTCTCAGGTTGCCCCTGTTGTTGGACAAAGAGGCACGTGCTTGGTTCCATGTGTTGTGTGGCTCATACAAACCTCGCCTAGGCTTGGCTGGCTGTGGATTCCGGGGGGCAGGGACTCAGTGAGCCACGGTGGACCGTGCTGGGAGGCTGTTCCTGTAGTCACCTGCCTTGTGTTGGTTCCAGGGAAGCTGCTCGGGAGTGTCGCAGGAAGAAGAAAGAATATGTCAAATGTCTTGAAAATCGCGTGGCCGTGCTTGAAAACCAAAACAAGACCCTCATTGAGGAACTCAAGGCCCTCAAAGATCTCTATTGCCATAAAGCAGAGTAACTGTCTTTGCCTTGGACCTTGTTTACTCTGAACCCTAATCAAGGCAGATGATGCAGTAGATCTAACTGCCGATCGGACTTGCGGAGGGGACACTCGGGACCTTAACTAAGAATCCAGTTTGGTTTAGTATTTGCAATTGAATTAGGAATACTGTTCCAAGATTTGGAAAGCCACCTAGATCACGTTCGCCAAGCTTACTTCAGTCTGATTGTCAGTAGCATGCACAACATGTTTTGTTTGCCCTTTTGCTCTACTTTTTCTAGGGAAGCTGCTAAAGAATGTCGACGTCGAAAGAAAGAATATGTAAAATGTCTGGAGAGCCGTGTTGCAGTGCTGGAAGTTCAGAACAAGAAGCTTATAGAGGAACTTGAAACCTTGAAAGACATTTGCTCTCCCAAAGCAGATTAGTAAAACTATTTACCTATGAACTGATTGCAACATGTACAGTTGCTTTGCAAGCAATACAATATATAGCTGGCAAGAATGATGGCTTTTTCTCCTTTGTATCACTCATCTTACTTTCTGATCTCTACCATTCCTAAAACGCCTCACTGTACATACTCAACTCTTAGCTATAACTTCAACTTTTTAAAAAGAGATGAACTGTAAAAAAATGTATGTAACAAATTCTTAAAATGAAATATTTGTAAGACTTGTTCCAGTACTACATATTTGCACTTCCCAATCTCTGTGTCATGAACAGTGTCCTATGCAATAAAAAATTTTGCAGGTCTTTAATCATTTTAGGAAGGGATGATCAAAGTTAATGCATCCAGCAGTGAAATAAAATTAAGCCACACACACACGCACACAGAGAAATACTTCAGGAAAGAATTGAGAAAGGATATCTCCATGCCCACACGAGAATAGCAAGGAAATGAATTTTGACATTTACAATCTTTTACATTAGTCACTTGTAAAGAAAATATAGTACTGTATTGCTGTTCTTGAACACCATAGTCAAAGAGTTTTTAACAGAACCATGTTGGTTGCACTTTGCAGTATTTGGTGCTTATTTAAATAGCAGAACATTTAGGTAATTTTTTACTCTGTCCTATAATATAAACAGTCTTGCAGAAGTTCTTAGCATTGGCTTGATATTTCCTAATGAAAGTGACAATATATTTTAAAATCCAGAATGAGCTGAACACATTTTAGAATTATACTGCATACCTTCAAGGGTCCAGGCTGATTTCTACAGTGGGTTATGGTCCTTGCAAATGCTGCTTCTACCTCATCAGAAAGACAACCCTAGGACGGGGGGTACCACTCGGGTAGAGCACCTGCCTAGCATGTGCAGGGCCCGGGGTTTGATTCTAAGCTCCACAAAATAATAATGATGATAGTGATGGTGAGGATGGTGGTGATAAGGCATCATAGGAACCTTAAAACCATCCAAGATTTTATTTTTCACTTCAGAACAGCTTGAACTCCTCATTGGCTTAAATACTATTATGTCAGCACATGGGTGAAGTTTGTTACAGTTGAGACAGCAGTGTTGTTCCTCGTATCCACAGCTCATCCTGTTTTTAGAGTAGAAAGCTTCAAGGTACAAGCCAGAGCCCTGGCCATATGATGTGGGGTTACTTCTCGCTCCCTGGCATTCACCCGACACAGGCTGTGTGCTAGACTTGGCCATCACTTCTGCTTTAAGGATGGCCCCTCCTGCTTCAGGACTGGAGGGTCCGGGGGAAACACAGAGACAGGAGTTTTTCGTGTGGCGTCCAGCTGCTGCTCCCCTGTATCATCGTAATCCTTCCCTTATGTCTAGCTTCCGGAAGGTAGGCCATGTTATTTTGGACTCTCTTTGAAAATACTTTGCAAAGCCTGAGCTCTATATTTCTTTTATCTCAATCTTTTCTTCTACGGAGAAGTAAGATGAGGAAAGAAGACATGGAAGAAAAACAAACTAAAAGGAAAGCCCCAGGCGAAGGAAAACTCCAGGGCTTTTCAGTCAGTCAGGTACCGTACACAGCTGAGGGGTAGACATGAAGAGGGAGACACAAGGACCAAGATGCAGAAAATGAGAGGCAGTAATGTTAGAATTAGACAGAGAAGTAGTCAAGGATGGAATAAAAAGTTCAAGTAGGAGGCTGATGTGGAACTGGGCCCTGGAGTGGCTGTGGTGACTGGAGGAGGTGGTTCCGGTCAGGGAATACGGAGCGCAGCGTGTGCTGCACTCCGGGGAGCTGGGGCTTGGGGTTAAGGGAGGTAAGGTTAGCATTCACAGAGTTTCCCTTAGCGAGGAGAGAAATGAATGTGTCCGTCTTTGTGCACTCTACAGAACATGTTACTGCACAGGATGGAGATTTACCTAATTATTTGGGGCCACAATGAACGGAAGTCCCCCTTCCCAAGCCCAAAAGTTTAAAGAATAAGGAAATGTTTTTACCTCACAAAGTCCAGAGATAGGAGAGACCTCAAGGTCGCTTAATTCAGTGACTTAACAACAGTACTGTGATGAGATTTTTTTCCTACCCACTTGGCTCTCTCTATTCACTGGTGCCCCAGTCCTAACATAGGACAAGGTAGTAGCCCCTTCGCTTTTTGATTCTTGTTTTAAGAGCAAGGAAAACTGGCCTGGAAAGTCTTCAGTGGCACATTCCCTGAGTCCCCTAGTCAGATATTCATGCTAGGTTTATTTCTCAGCCGATCACTGACAAGGAGGGTAGAATTAGAAGCTCTGGGTTGTTGGTGAATATTCTACCCCTGGGTCTGAAGAAAATTCCAGGCTTTCAGGGAAGAACATGGTCACTGATGTTAAATAAAATCAGGGTTCAGGAAGAATGCCTCATTGGGAACGGGCAGTGTACACCCATGGAGATAGGAGTGAGGCTTAAACGGCCCCGGAAGTCGGAACAGCTTGGGACAGTGCTGGTATTCAGGTCAAGCCAAGCTCTCAAAACTGTGCAGGACTCTAATCTTGCTCATCTGACTTGTTCCTAAAACAGCCCTTTCCACCAAAATAGTGTGATTCAGTGCCTGTCCAGCTGTACAGCAGGTGCGACCTTCAGCCTCTCGTGGAACACAGTGAGCAGTCAAGTTGGAAGCTGTCCGTGAACACTGTCACCCTGTACCTCAGTGCCACATGGACTCCAGAGCTGGCACTGCATTTGTATCTGTTTCTAATCCTGAAAGTTTCAGAGTCTGGAGCGTGGGGTACAGAAATTACTGATCCTGCTTTCACATTTAACTAGATGCTTCATGACATAAAATGGCGCCGAACGGGAGACAACAGGAAGTACACGCTGAGCACTGTGCTTACCCCAAGCCGAGAGCACGGAGCAGCCACAGCCTGCTTCGGGGGATGGCAACTGTTTCGTTCCTTTCAGTCTTCCTCATATGCTCATCTTACGCCATTTCTTATGTGCCTAAACGTGTACCTTTTAGAAGCATGGTAGCTCGTGAAGCCAGCACACTTTTGCCAGTGTGCACCAAAAATAGTTAGCAGGCTGACATGTGAGGCAAGCAGAGCTGTCCCAGTTGGCCAGCCAAAATGTAATGACCTCCATTCTATCACCATATACCCTGGTTTTCAGAAAGTGAATGTGCTCCATCTTTTGTAAGGTCATCCTAAAAGTCTCAGAGGTGCTTCTGAATGACTCGAGCAAAGGGTATCTTAATCTTTGTATTTTGTGGGTAACTTTTTTCAATATAGTTCATTTTCTTTTACATGTATTTCATATTTTTTTCTACTGAATTTTTTTATTTTAAAGAGAATAATAAAAAAAATAGCAAAATACCAACAACAGACAAAAACAAAACAAAGCAAAAACAAAAATGGTACAAGATTTCAGAACAAAATGATAGGAATTAAGTTATATTACATACTGTTATCTTCAACGAAGTTGCTCAGATTACTAGATGTAAGAGAATAAACCATTACAGAGAATAAAAAATAAAAACAACGAAACATTAGAAACGATGCAGAGTTTCATTAGACAGATGGTAGGAATCCCCCAGTGGTTGTTATATTGCATATTGTTGTCTTCAAATTAGTTGTTCAGATTACCAGATATAAGCATGCAAAACTGGTCAAAAAGAAAAAAATTAGGCATTAACTGTTCCTTTTAATAAACCATTGGACATCAGCAGTACAGTTATCCCAGCCATCCTTCTATACACACACATATATATTTTCCCTTCCTTCTTTCTTTTTCTCCTTTCCCTCATCACAGTTGTTTTTTCCTTTGAGCAATTTATTTCCCTTTCATAATATCTATTGTATGTTTTGGGTTAATTGACTCCTAGGATTTAAATTTTTATTTGTGTGATGGCAAGGATTGAACCCAGGGTCTCCCACATGCTAGACAAGCACTCTACCACTGAGTTATACCCTCAGCTCATGGGCAAAGCATTTTACTACAGTATTGTTTATTCTTCTGAGATCCGTTCGGCCATGAGGTACTGTGTGGTAGTTGCTTGTAATGAGATTTACGATAATTCTTTTCAGAGCCATGGTTTTCACACACAGTTCCACGAGGGACAGAAAATGATGAACGAAAGGAGAAAATTAACCTTGTGCTTTGTTATACTGCATTGTACTTCTCAAAAAAAAGTCCTTGATATTTCTTTTTTTGTATTTATTTCTAAGTCTTAATTTTCAAGAAGAGGCTGAGTATTTTTCAGGGTTTATCTTTTATTGAAGGCATTTTTCCACTATGCTCTTTCACAGTGGTCTGCTCTGACCCTGTAGAGTTTACTTCTTTTCCTACTTTAGTTGGCCCTCACTTGCTCTGCAGCACATGTTCCTTTTCCTACCTTTAATAAATGTAAAAATTCGCTACTTTAAAAAAACAGATGTTTAAAAAACCCACAAGGAAAGGTGAAGTACCACAGGTTGAGCAGACTCTGCGCGTGGCACACACCCATACACGTGTGTGCACTTCCTTTCCCTCTTCCTGTTTTTCCCTCCTAAATGCAGGTCTTTGCCCCTGCTGGGTGATAATGGGTCAGCCAGCTTTGGGACAGGAGCCAGAGATGAAATCCAGATCTGCCATAAGAGTTCCTTGGTTCCTTTGTGGAGAACCAGTCATTCTGACTGAGCCTGAAAGCTCCCTTCTCCCTCTGTTGCTCAGGTAGCTTCCACTCCCACCCCAACCCTCTGCAGCCACCAGCTTCTTGTTGACTTCGCAGTCCTTGCCTGGCTTTCCTCAGTTCTATATGAGTTACAGGATGCTTCAGCTGCACCGTGGAGAATCCAGACCCCTAGCTCCCATTTAGCAAATGCTCAAACTGGGCCACGTACCACACCATGTTCCACAGGGGCCCCTGACACGGTTAATCCTCACTGCAAACTAAGTGCTCATGCTTTTATTGGTGTCCCTGCTTCACAGATGAAAAAACAGGCAGGGAAAGGTTAAGTCACTTGCTCAGGGTCTCCGAGCTGCTGGAGTGCAGGACCAAGAGAGAACTAGACCCAGGAGCCTGTGTGTCTGCAGCTCTCACCCAGCCTGGTCCAGGCAGGCAAGTGGGAGAAGTGACCATGGCACTGAGACCTGGGGTGCCCAGGGGTTACAGTACACATGTCCAAACCTTTCCTTTTCTGATGTGCAAAAGCTCATAGTAGTTTCTCTAGTTTAAAATATTCCTGACACTGATCAGGAGGAAACTGTGGTACAGTTGCTGGGACAAAATACCTGACACCCGCAAATTAAAGGAGGAAAGATTTATTTTAGCTCACAGTCTGTAGAGGTTTCTTCAGTCCAGAGTTAGCTGGCTCCAAGGCAGGGTAGCAT